GCTGGGCATGGTAGCACATGCCTGTAATCCCAGGGTTAGGGAGGCTGAGGCAGGAGGATCACAAGTTTAAAGCCAGCCTCAGCAATTTAGCAAGTCCCTAAGCAACTCAGTGAAACCCTGTTTCTAAATAAAATACAAAATAGGGCTGGGGATGTGGCTCAGTGGTCAAGTGCCCCTGAGTTCCATCCCTGTTACCGCCCCCACTCCCAGACAACCAGCAGGGGTTAAGAAAAAAAGGCCAAAATATAGGCTGTCTCGCCAACGACCTGTGCAGACAGGGTGAACTGGTTTAAAAGAGCTGGCTGCAACATTAAACTAAGAAAGCGCAAAAAATCACACAATGCCGCAGTCTGGCTGGGCACAATCAGGAGCCACTTGTCAAAAGAAACTAACTTTATTTTTAGAACCACACACGACAAACAAAATAGTCTCTCAGGAAAAACCCTCAGAGCCTCAACTGCCACCACCGGCTTTCCACAAGCCTCTCTCTCCCACACAAGCTTCTCCCCACCTCCCCCAATCCTCCTGCTCTTGAGGCCGATTGGCTGGGTCACGTGGGCGGAGCCAAAAAAGTCCCCCAATGAGCAGCTCCGTGGTCTGAAAGGGCAGGGAAACAGTCCAATGAGCATCACCGCAGAGGAGCCAATCAGCTAGATGTTGCTGGGGCCGAGGAGCCAATCAGCTAGATGTTGCTGGGGCTGCTGTGAGCCAATCATCAGCCGGCAGCTGGAAGTTTGCTGGGGCCCCTCAGGCTGTGGCTCTCAACATCTCCCCCTCTCTGTTTAAACAACAAGCATGTGGCTTAGGGACCGTGCCTGTTAGGCAGTCCAATTCAACATATGGTCCTTACCCGTCATCGGATGAACTGACCTCTAGGCGTCAGCCTCCTGTCTTAGGTTGGTACCACTGCAATTGGATCATACCCATCACTGACTACCGGTCCAGCATACAGGTGAGCTCACAATGTGTCCAGGCAAGTTCTGCAAGCAGTTCAGTGATGGCTATTGTAGAAGCTGTAGATTGGTTTTATCTTTGACTTCACCAGCACTGGGATGAAGATAGGAATTCTGGCAATAATGGCTAAAGAAAAAATTATGTAACATTCCAGAAGGCACTAAAAGAAAACAATTTTCTTAACAATTTACATTGTCTTCACCGGCACTGGGATGAAGATAGGAATTCTGGCAATAATGGCTAAAGAAAAAATTATGTAACACTACAGAAGGCACTAAAAGAAAACAATTTTCTTAACAATTTACATTGTCTTTAAGAGAATTATTAAATATAATGAAAAGGAAAGGTGAAAGTAAACAAACAGATCTGTTAACCTTCTTTTTTGTTTACATATTAAAACAATCCTCAACAGTTGTTTACCCAATTTAAATTAAACCATATAAATCACGTGAAAAAAAATATTTGGATCCATTTTATCATGAGCGCTCATCATATATGATATATGGACATACGTACATTCAAACATATAACACAAAACACAAGTGTGCACACATAATATAATACATACAACACATAACATTATAGTAAAGGCCTTATAACTTTTTACAGGTGAAATCTCCATTGCAATGTTTAAAAACTCTATAGTCAAAAAATAGAACTGATCAGCAAAACATTAACCTAGGTCTGTATGAGCTCAAAAAACAAAATAGAACTTCATGATATGGCAAAGGGCAATAATAAAATAGATATTGAAAAAAGCATCCTGGTTCTGTTGCAGATGTAAGAATAGCCAAACTGGAGTTTTGGATATCAGTTGTTATGGATTTGAGCCAAATCATCTTCTTTTTGGTCTGTAGAAATCGCTTTAGTTAATCTTTCTGGAATCCAAATCGGCTGCTGTTCTCCCTGTGGAAACACATAAAGAGACCCCCGACTCCAGACAATCACTGGGTCAGGACCTTGGTTAATCTCTCTGGAATCCAAATCGGCTGCTGTTCTCCCTGTGGAAACACACAAACAGACCCCCGACTCCAGACAATTACTGGGTCAGGACCTTTCCATTGTCCTGTTAGAATATCCTTCCAAAGTACCTTGGGCTTATGTACATTTTTTGGACACATATGCCTTTCCGCAGCACTAAGTCCTGATGAATCCAAATTTAAAAAGTTTAGAGTAAAAAGGGTTATTTTAAGTTTATCTTTGGGGAATATATACCCCTTCCCAATTCCTTCTTTTTGCTTTAATAAGTACATTTTAATAGTTTGATGAGCTCTTTCAACTATGCCTTGTCCCTGTGGATTGTATGGGATTCCTGTTATATGAGTAATGCCAAATGTTGAGCAAAATTGTTTAAAAGAGGTAGAAGTATAACCAGGGGCATTATCTGTTTTTAACTGTTTTGGAACACCCACAGTGGCAAAATTTTGTAAGCAATGAGCTATAACATCTTTAGTTTTTTCTCCGGCATGAAGGGAGCCCATCAAAAATCCAGAAGAAGTATCAACTGTAACATGCAAATATTTTAATTTTCCAAATTCTGGCAAGTGTGTGACATCCATCTGCCAAATATGGTTAGGTATCAATCCTCTAGGATTGACTCCAAGATTAACTTGTGGTAAAAAGGTCACACAATTTTGACATTGTTTTATTATTTGTCTAGCTTGTTCCTTAGTTATTTTAAAACGCTTTTGTAAAGTATTAGCATTGACATGGAACTTTTTATGAAAATTTATAGCTTCTTCTAGTGTAGAGAAAATATGTATGTCATGTGTAGTTTTATCTGCTAAATCATTGCCCAAACTAAGGGCTCCAGGCAATCCTGTATGTGCCCTGATATGTCCTATAAAGAATGGATCTTTTCTGTCCCAGATTAGACTTTGTATAGTGGAAAGCAAAGAGAAAACAGTAGAAGAAGGGGAAATCCTACCAGCATCTTCAAGAGATACTATAGCATTAACTACATACTGACTATCAGAAAATAAATTAAATACAGAATCTTTAAACATCACAAAAGCTTGTAAAACTGCATTAAGCTCTACCTTTTGAGCTGATTGTTTGGGTACTAAAAATGTAAAAGTTTGATCAGGGGTAACTACTGCTGCTGTACCATTATTTGACCCATCAGTGAATATATTTGGAGCATTCATGATAGGTGTTTTTCTTGTCATTTTTGGAAAAATTACAGGATGCAATGACCAAAAAGACAATAAAGGATTAGATGGTAAGTGGTTATCAAATGAAACATTAGATTTACACATGATTATTGCCCAAGTATTTAACTCATTAGCTAACTCATCAATTTGATTCATAGTATATGGAGTAATAATTTTATTGGGAGAAATTCCAAACACTCCCTTTGCTGCTTTTATTCCTTTGAGTATTAATTGTCCTACAGCCTCAGGATACCTAGTAAGAATAGTGTTAGGAGAATAAGATAAATGTATCCATAATAATGGACCTTCTTGCCAAAATACTCCTGTAGGAATATTTTTTGTTGGTAGTACAATAAATAATAAAGGCAAACTTATATCAATTCTATCCAAATGCATATTTTCCATATATGTTTCAATGATTTTTAATGCCTTTCTTGCTTCAGGCGTTAACATTCGGGGTGAATTTGGATCTGATGGACCTTTTAGGATATCAAATAAAGGTCCCAACTCTCCTGTTGGTATACCTAAATAAGGCCTTATCCAATTTATGTCTCCTAATAACTTTTGAAAGTCATTAAGTGATTTGAGTTGATCTACTCGTATTTGAATTTTTGGTGGACGGACCATGGTTGAGGATAATAGAACTCCTAAATAATTAATTGGAAAATTTAATTGTACTTTATCTATTGCTATCTCTAGATTATAATTTTTTAATAAGTTTGTAAGTGTGGCATAACATTCTAGCAATGTGTTTTTATCTTTGTGTGCTAATAATACATCATCCATATAGTGAAATATTTGTAGTTCAGGATTTTGATTTCTAAGTGGCTGGATTACTTTGTTAACATAAATTTGACACATAGTTGGGCTGTTAGCCATCCCTTGAGGGAGTACTTTCCATTCATATCTCTAATCAGGACCTTCATGATTCAGTGCAGGGATAGTAAATGCAAAACGTGGACTATCCTCAGGATGAATTGGAATTGAAAAAAAAAATCTTTAATATCTATAACTAAAACATACCAGGTTTTTGGCAAAGCAGACAACTGAGGAATCCCTGATTGAGCAGGTCCCATAATAACCATCTCATTATTAATGGCTCTTAAATCTTGCAATAATCTCCATTTACCAGATTTCTTTTTGATGACAAAAATGGGAGTATTATGGGGAGATACAGAAGGTTGTATATGTCCTTCTGCTAATTGTTGTTTGACCAGGTCATGGGCTGCTTGTATCTTTTCTTTAGTCAGGGGCCACTGAGGAACCCATACTGGTCTTTCTGATTTCCAAGTAATTTTTATTGTCTCAGTGGCCCTTTCTGAAAATCCAACCCATGTCTGTCTCTCCCTTGATCTATTTGTATTGGTGCTGCTATACCTTGTTCTTGTTTTTCTAATCTTTTTCCTTTCCTAAAACCTTGTCTAGTCATAATAGTGGGTGCATTTTGGTTGATGTTATTTGTTAATGTCAAACCTAATTGATCTAGGACATCTCGTCCCCATAAATTTACGGGAAGATGATCCAATACATATGGCTGTATAGTTCCTTCACATCCTTCAGGATCCTTCCAATCTAATACCATTGCACTTCTATGGGGATTAGTTGCCACTCCTAGGCCTCGAAGCGTTTGAGTGGCTTGTTGTAATGGCCAATGTTTTGGCCATTCTTGACGAGAGATGATGCTAAGGTCTGCACCTGTATCCAGTAGCCCATTAAATTCATGTCCTTGAATATTTAGTTTTAGCATGGGGCGAGAATCTAAATTTAAAGAAAGCATAGCCCAATCTACACCTGTGGAGCCTAATCCCTTGGAACCTCTTTCTACAGTACGACTGGAAAATTTATCATGTAGGCTGGGTATTATTAGTAACTGTGCTATTCTATCTCCTGGTGAAATTACTGATATACCCTTTGGAGAACTGGCTATAATTTTTATTTCACCTTCATAATCGGGATCAATTACCCCAGGACTTATCATAAGTCCTTTTAGAGTAGAAGAGCTGCGTCCCAATAATAAGCCTACTGTTCCTTTGGGAAGAGGTCCTTTCACCCCTGTGGGAATGATTTGAACTCCCATCTCTGGAGTTAGTACTGCTCTGGCGGAGGCGCAGATGTCCTACCCTGCGCTCCCTCTGGTTTGTCTGATGAGGGATCTGATGGACAATGTGTCCTGGGCACTACCCTGATGGGGTTGCTGGGTTCCTCCAGTGCTCCGTATATTTGTGGTTTTGGGCCCCGGAGCATTGGGCCCCCCTGTCCGTTTTTTGGCAATGGAGCCCGATGCCTTTCTCCACGATATTGTGGATAAACACCTGGTCCTTGTTCATTTTTTGATAATGGAGTACCCTCTATGGTGGTTTGAGAACGGCATTCATTAGCCCAATGTCTCCCTCTACGGCATCGTGGGCAAATACCTGGTATTCTACTCCTTTGATACCTAGTTTTGTTAAACCCTCCTCCAATGGGGCAATTCCTTTTAAAATGTCCTGTTTGTTCACAATTGTAGCATGTTCTTGGCCTGGCATCTAAAGCCTGTTTTACTGCAGCTGCCACAATTTGCCCTTGTTCATTAATGTCTCTGGCATCTAAAGCCTGTTTTACTGCAGCTGCCACGACTTGCTCTTGTTCATTAATGTCTCTACATAATTTAATATATGTGTTTAAATCTTCATGTTTCCATGGTCTAATGATATCTCTGCACCAACGATTCGCTTGCTCATAAGCCAGGTGTTTTAGTAATGGCATTGCTTGTTCTGTATTCCCAAAAACTCTGGTAGCTGTTTGAATAAGCCTATCTACAAATTCAGCATAAGGTTCATTAGCTCCTTGTATTACCTTAGATAATTGACCTTGTAAACCTCCATGTCCTTGTAAAGTCTTCCATGCCTTAATTGCATCTGCAGCAATTTGTGCGTATACGCCAGGATCATATGCAATTTGTTGCTGCTGATCCTCATAAGGTCCCTTTCCTAACAACATATCTAGATTTCTCTAAGGATAACCAGCTGCTGCATTTCGCCTAGCCGTCTCCTTGCAAAATTCCTCATTGGCAACCTTCCATAACAGGTATTGTCCTCCATTTAGCACAGCTTTACACATATTAGCCCAATCTGCTGGCGTCATGTTCAAGTTGTTAATGGATTCGACCAAGCTTACAGTGAAGGGTGCTTGAGGACCATAGGTTGTTACAGCCTCTTTTAGCTGCTTCACTGTTTTGAAATTTAAAACTTGGTAAAATCGCTGCCCTCCTGCCTCAAATACAGGGCATGTTAATATTTGAGACCTTGTCTCAGGATCCCAACTATCAACTGTGGGGGTTGGGGGCCTCCCAGCATATGGAGGTGGCGCTGTTGGTTGGACACTTTCGCCCTCTGGTGATAGAAAGGTGTTAGTAGCAGTCTCCTGTAGAGGTGGTGCTGTTGGTTGGACACTTACACCCTCTGGTGATAGAAAGGTGTTAGTAGCAGTCTCCTGTTGTACCTTTCCCCCTGATGGCTTTTTCTGTTTTACACTTTCTTTCTCTGTCTGACTAACTTGAGAGACCTTCTCTTTTACTTGAATCATTATGTCTTCTCCTTCCTCTACCATTGTCTGAACTGAAGGCTTTGGACTAAGCAAACAAGATATGAACGTCCACAATGGCAATGTGCCAACTGGCAGAGTCCCTGGGCTTTTCTTTTCTATTCTTTTTAAATCTTCACCATGATGGTTCCATTGTGATATATTTAACAACTCCTCCTTAAAAAGCCATGGGCTACATTTTTGTATTGTATCAACGTATGCCCTGACTGTTCTTGATTTTACTGGGATGCCTCCTTCCTCTAACAATTTACTTAACACTCTTTCAGTTTGTTTTTTACTAATTTCTGATCCCGTATTTCTACTATAATACAACCCAACAAGATGACGCCAAACAAAACCGAGACAGAATGAAATAAAAAGGGAACAACAAAAAGTCATTATAGCCTTTCTATCCTCCTGACATGGGCATCCGTCCTTTCTCCCTATCTGTTCCTCAGACGTAAATAGTTTTTCCTCAGATGTGAGCGGTTTTTCTTCCGTCTCACTCATCTCCAGGGACAGGCAACTTAAAACAAAAGTGAAACAAAATAACAAAAGAAGAATCTTAAAATGGCTACCCATCCTCTCGCCCTGCCCTCAGGGGCGAGCAGTTTCACTTACCCTCAGTCGCTCCCCGTGCGAGCCACCAAATGCCGCAGTCTGGCTGGGCACAATCAGGAGCCACTTGTCAAAAGAAACTAACTTTATTTTTAGAACCACACACGACAAACAAAATAGTCTCTCAGGAAAAACCCTCAGAGCCTCAACTGCCACCACCGGCTTTCCACAAGCCTCTCTCTCCCACACAAGCCTCTCTCTCCCACACAAGCTTCTCTCCACCTCCCACAATCCTCCTGCTCTTGAGGCCGATTGGCTGGGTCACGTGGGCGGAGCCAAAAAAGTCCCCCAATGAGCAGCTCCGTGGTCTGAAAGGGCAGGGAAACAGTCCAATGAGCATCACCGCAGAGGAGCCAATCAGCTAGATGTTGCTGGGGCCGAGGAGCCAATCAGCTAGATGTTGCTGGGGCTGCTGTGAGCCAATCATCAGCCGGCAGCTGGAAGTTTGCTGGGGCCCCTCAGGCTGTGGCTCTCAACAGGATAGCCATAAAACACAATGACAGAGCATAATAGTATTTACTTCTCAGGAGGGAGGGGGAGTGACAAGTTGGGAAGAGGGGACTCCTAGGATACCTGCCATGCTCTATTTCTCAATCGGGGGAGTGGTTACATGTTTACACCTCAAGATTCAAGCTGTACATTCTGATTTGTGAACTTTTCTGTATGTTATACTTCAGTTAAAATGATTAAAAATGGCAAGCAGGGTAGTGTTAAAAAATTACAGGAGGCCATTGTTTTGGACTAAATATTAAAATATGTATTATTTATCCTGATTGCTGAATTTTTTGGTGCCCCCTTAAATTCTGCCCTGAGGCAGGTAGCTCACCCTGGTCCTTGGGCTAATGGACAAAAGCAGGAAGGAGGCAGAGTGACACAGCTGGGCCTTCAGGGAAACTGAGACAGCACAAAGGCCCCTCTTCAAACTGCCATAAAGTCAGAAAGATTTTAAATATGTCACTCAGAGTAAGAGGCATGAGTTTATCAGAAGGGATGGGAAAAGGTAAAAGGGGACACCCTCAAGGGAGAGAATGGGTCCTTTCCGAAAGGAGAGGAATTAAGCTTCTCCGGCCTTCCAGTTTTATTGGGATCCCAGGGGAGTTTCCAGAAAGTTCTGCCCAGGTCCACCTCTTGCCTTTTGACTGACAGCAGGATGACATCAGGCTTTCAAGTCCCCACGCCTTAACAACTCTAGGTCCCTTTGGCCCACACTGACCTGTTTTAATTGGAACCTGTTCTTAACAGTCTGTAAGAGTCACAAAAGTCCCTTCAGTGTTACTTGTGCTCTTCTTATCAGCATTTCAGGCCTGCGTTCATCCTGTCAACTTAATCCAGGCAGAGCTGCAAGTGAATTGCTGTTTAGAAAACAAAGCTTACGGAGTCAGCAGATGGGCCCAGTTTACATTCTTTTGGGGAGTGGGATGGAGCCCCTAACCTCCTGTTCTCCGCTCGCATCCCTGGGGCAAACAACTTCCCCTGCCTCCCCCGACCCCCGTTCCCTCACCTATAATGGGGAAGGAAGAGGGGCGGGACAAGCTCTCAGGGTCTAACATTCTTCCTCGCCCCACCTGGACAGCACCCGGAGTTGAAGCGAAAGTCGCGGAGATTCAGAGCGGGAGCCCGCTTCCCCGCACTTCCCGACTCTGCGTCCCTCCAATGGGCGGGGAGGAGAGCTTAGAGCTGGAGTCCTGATTGGCTGAGGCTGACTACACAGGAGGACGCGCTTCAGTAAGGCAAACGCGCGTTGCGTCATCAGTGAGCGACGAGGACCTTTAAGTGAAATAAACTCCTTTCTAATTGGCTCCCTCCTTCCAGAGAGACTGGAACAGCGGTGGGGGATTCGCTGTCCTCCAACTCTAGGCTTCCGGTATTTGGAGAGAGGATGAAGATTGAAGAGAAACATCTGAAGTCTCTAACGGTCCTGAAGTCCTGAGGGGCGGGACTTTGGCCGTAGTGGGTGGACCCTGGGGCGGGTCTCTCGTGGGGGCGGGAATTCTTTGGGGGAGTGGGTGAAGCCCCAACGCTGTGCTTTCCCTGAGTGTGAGGCGGGGCCAGTCGTGTGGGCGGGATCAGAAGTCGGACAGGGCGGGGTCGGGGGCGGAGTCAAGGAGGGCGGGGCCGAGCCGACGCCGAGCGTGGGGCAGTCACAGGGACCAGGTCCCAGCTATGGCTCCGCGCTGCTGGCTCTGGTGGCACTGGTTGGGGTGGCCACGAATCCGACCACCTTCAGCTAGTAACTCCACGAGTAGGTGCAGGGCACTTTGGGCTGGACGGGAACCTGGGAGGCCTGGGAGCGCGAAGTGTAGGGATCACCGCGGAGCAGGGCTGAGCTGGAGAGGGGAGAGACTTGAGGAGTCCATTCATAGAGAAGTGAGGGGTGGTGTCGGGCAAATGGGGGCCTGCATGGTGAGATGTGAAGCCTCACGGATGTGATGGAGGTTAGCAAAGATTGAAAGGAGAGACCATGAGGTACACATGTGTGAGACGGGGTTGACACAGAGGTCTGTGTGGAGACAGGGAAATTTGAGGTGAAACAGGGTCGGTCTGTAGGAGCAATATCGAGTTCTAAGGAGAGAGGGGAGTTAAAAGAAGAAAGAGACAGGGCTTGTGGGGAGATCCCCACGGGTGGGCGGGGTTGGGATGATATGGAGTCAGTGGGAAGATGTAGGATAATAGCTGATTGGGTAGGGAATTCTATAAGAAAAATGAAAAAGTGCTGGGCAGGGAAGCTTCAGGGGCCATAAGGGTTGTGGACAGGACATAGGTTCATGGGCAAGGTGTGGGTATCTGGATAAAGACACAGCCTTTGGGGGTTCAGATGAAGTGAGGAACCCTATAAATGCCAAAGCTTTGAGAAAAATGAGAAGGAAGGTTCAGGGGAGGGTGAAGCTCTGCAAGATGCATCTCCTGACAGACTCATCTGAAGTTGGTTTGGGATTAGAGTGTTGATTTGACCTTGCTCCCCTTCTCTGCCCAGACTCAGGCTTCTACCGGCATTTCTCTGCACAGAAGAATCCCCAGATCTGTGTGGTGGGCAGTGGCCCAGCTGGCTTCTACACGACCCAACACCTGCTAAAGGTAAGCCACTTCTTCAGGCTTCATCCCCGTAATTCATTCACCTGTCGCTCCATCCCAAGGGCAAGCTCTACCCCTTTTTGGGGTTGCCTGATGAGGAAGAGGCTCCCAGCCCACCTAGGCTGTATATTTTTACCTGTTTTCTTACCTAGAGCTGGGGAGTCCCACCTTAGGTCTTCAACTATGAGAGAAGTGTGTTTTCCCCATGGTTGGTTGTTAGTGGCTGATGGGCAGCTGTGTTTCCTTGGCCAAGCACTCTGAGGAGCTTATGCAGCCCTCCAGATTGGCTGTCTTCTCCTCATCTTTTCTCTTCCTTGTCTCCAGTCTGTCTCTGACAGCCTGCATTTCGAGGCACCATCTTCTCCCAGCTTTCTGTAATTTTGTCCAATTTGCTGTGCCCTCCTCACCCACAGCTCCAGTCCTCCTGCTGCCTGGCTCCTCCCCCCACTACAGGCCAAGGTCTCAAGGCTTTCAGTATTGGCCAAGGCTACCAGATACACTAGGGCACGGGGAGACCTAGGTTAACTGAGATGAGTCAGTGGCCTAGGTTTGGAGGAACTTGGAGTGTCTGTGGAGAGAGAGAAGAAAGGATGAATATATTAGTTATATACAATGCAGATTAAGAAAGATAGGGTGGCCCACTGTCCTGATTTGCCTGGGACAAGGGATTTTCAGTGCTGAAACTAGGAAAGGTCTCATGGAGACCAGGATGAACTGGTCACTGTTGAAGTGGCCTACACATGCTTCCCAAGCAACATGGGTGACAGAGCTAGTTAAGTGATACAAGCAGAGTGAGCCAGGCCAGGTGGGTCAACAAGAAGCTCTTTCCTACCAGGTGTGGTGGCACATGCCCATAGTTCCAGCAACTTAGGCTGAGGCAGGAGGATCCAAGTTTGAGGCCAATGTGGACAACTTAGTGGGTTCCTGTTTCAAAATAAAATTGGAGAAAAAAGTGAGGGGCTGGGGATATAGCTCAATGATAGGTGTATGGTGCATTTGAGTTGCACTGAAGGCCACTGGCTATGGGAAGGGCCTCTGGTGTGTGAGGAGTCAGCCTGGAATGCAAGGCCATGGGTGCAGGAGGACAGCCTGGGCTCTGGGATGGAGGCCAGGGAGCTCATACCATCTGGGGGACCACAGAGCCCCTCCCATTTTTTGTGGTACTGGGTATCAAACCCGGGCCTCTGCAGGCTGGGCAAACACTCCTACTAACTATACCCCCCCAGCCCAGAACCTCATTTTAAATTTCAGTTGTACTTGCTGTTTGCAGGGTAGACATAGGCAGGACTGGGATAAGGATAAGGGATCAGAAAGAGATGAGCAAGGAGACCCAGGGGCTAGCTCTGGGTGGAAGGGGTGAAAGGAAGCATAGGAGCAGAAGGGGAGACATTTGGGGGACAACAGTATGGTTTTATCTCAATGGCTTCAGGATGTGTGCAGTGGGTAAGACAGCCTAGGGTCTCAGGTTTAGAGCTTGGAGAGAGGTCTGGACAGAAGAGGGAGAGGGAGAAGGAAAAAGATCCATAATTTGAAATCAGGAAGGAGTCAGTAAAACCTCCCCAAAACTTGGGGAAAGAAGGGTCTCAGACCAGAAGCACCTCCAAAAGTGTCCTTGTTAGAGGGAGAACAGAGGGAAGGGGAACCAAGAAGGAGCAGCCAGAGGAATGGGTAAGGGAGGGGGTTTCCTGGAGGATGGGGTTGGCCATGTGAGATAAGGGGTGTTATGATGGTGACCTTGGAGAGAGCCTTCTTACTCAAATGAAGAAAAGCACAGAAGATAAAGACAGCTGGGTTGTGTCATGTCAGGACTTGACTGCCAGGCTGAGCAGTGTGAACTGTTCCAAGGCAACAGGCAGCAAAGGAAGGTTTTGGAGCAAAAGAAAGGTAACAACAGTGGTAGTGATAGTAATGATAGTTTACATTGATTGAATGCCCTTGTCAGGCCAGGCCTTGGCCAAGAGCTTCAGGACTTACTCATTTTACCTTGAGCCTGACACAGAAGGGATGTTCTATTGTACAGAGAAACTAGAAAACTTTCTCTGTGGCACAGAGCCAGTTAGTGGTGGCAATGGCTGTGGACAGGCAGTGGAGTGGAGGAAAGAGGGGATTTCGCAAAGCTGAGGCACTAAGGGCAGGAGCTCCTAGGCCTTGCATTCCGTTGAATCAGGAGGTTCTACAGGAAGTGGCTATGTGGGAGAGCAAGCCAGGGTGTCTTCCATAGGAGCCCCATTGCTGTACCCCAGATGGTTTGTGGCCAAGAAGTCTCACCATCTTGACCTCCTGGTGTTCTCAGTTTAGAGGAAGAACCTGAGACCTAGGAGGTCCTGGGACTTGCCAGGCTCATGCTGCTGGTTGGTGGCAGAGCCAGACCAGGCTTATCTGCCCAGTCCCAGCTCTGTGCCATCCCTACAGCCCCTCAGGGTGCCGCAGGAGGACAGGCAATGTGGAACTTCTGTTAGAGTGAAACTGTTTTCTAAGACTGGGAATAAATTCATTTCTACCTCCTTCTCCCCTGCCCATGCCCCTGCTATGTCCCCATTTCCTATCTTGTTGGTCCCTGTTCCAGTGGGATGACATTGGAGACTAGAGCTAAGGGTAGGTATGAACTTAAAAGGGTGGTTAGGTAGTGTGGCACATACCTCTAATCTCAGCTTCTTGGGGAGCTAAAGCAGAAGGATCACAGATTTGAGGGCCTGTCTCAAAATATAAAAAGGGCTGAGGATGTAGCTCAGTGGTGAAGCTGCCCCTGGGTTCAACCCCTAAAACCATTAAAAAAAAAAAAAAGATTTTCAAAAGGTGATTCTGAAGTCATGAGACCTGCTGAGTATTTCTAGAAGTGTCAGAGGGTCAGAGGGCAAGGCTGATCTGACTTGAGTAGATGATGCTCCCCTGATACTAAACTCCATGGAGGGGAAGCTTCAGCTCTCCTGATTTTGCCACATTTCTCACAATCTCGTGGCTGGCTATCCTTCCTGAGGTCTGACCTCAGCCTGTCTTGCTGCTCGTTCTGCCCCTTGTTGGGCTCTCTGGGCAGAAGAGGAGACAAGGGGCGCTCTTTCTTCTCGTAGATAGTCAAAGCCTCTTTGTGTTTTCTGCTCTCTGAGCTGAGCTCTCCTGCTCTCTCTGGGGAAGGGAGGACCCAAGGGGGCCCTGCTTTTCCCTCCACCCTCCCAAATGTGCCTTCTCTCCCAGCACCACACCCAGGCCCATGTGGACATCTATGAGAAGCAGCTTGTGCCCTTCGGCCTAGTGCGGTTTGGTGTGGCACCTGACCATCCCGAGGTGAAGGTGGGTCTCTCTGAGTATTGAGGGTGGTGTTTGGAGACACTGGACCAGACAAGGAGGTCAAGGAGGCCCCCTGTGATGGTTCAACCCAGGCAAGCGTGAGGGTGACACTGGGTCCCTGGAGCTACCTCAACCTCTAATCCCTCCCTCTTGGGGGGTTACTGGCAGAATGTCATCAACACCTTCACCCAGACTGCCCGATCGGACCGCTGTGCCTTCAGGGGAAATGTGGTGGTGGGCAAAGATGTGACAGTGCCTGAGCTGCAGGGTGCCTACCATGCGGTGGTGCTGGTGAGTGTGAGGGCCCTGGCTGGGAGACTGTGGCTGGAGGATGGTAGCTGAGGCACGGATGGGGCAGGGCTGAGGCCAGGATGGAAGCTCCTGAAAGGATCCCTGGGGACCAGGTGGGGCTTCCTGGCCCTGTGGTGCTGGTGCTGAGGGCTCTGGGCCTTGGGCCTGTGATCTTTCCTCAGAGTTATGGGGCAGAGGACCACCAGAGCCTGGAGATTCCCGGGGAGGAGCTGCCTGGTGTATGCTCGGCCAGGGCCTTTGTGGGCTGGTACAATGGGCTTCCTGAGAAC